TTATTGGACCAACATGTGGCTGCTTTAACTAGTTTTCTGCCTTCACTTGTGAGCTACAGTACCTGCAGGACAAGCCAACCCATGGATCCTGTAGCTATAACTTGAGGTTCCTTCAAGACCTGCCTTGTCACACTGCTGGTGTGTATATCACTTGAGCTTAAGACTGGTGGATCCTATCGTCTTGCATTACTTGCTGTTAGATATCCCACCCAGGCCTGCTTTGCTAAGCTCCTGAGCTGCTGATTGTTGATGACCCGCCCTGTTTGCTGCCTGTGGACAGATTCTGCCTGCATTGCCTGAAGGAAGACTCAGCTGTCTGCTTCCTTGACGTTGGACCTGGCAGCCGTTGAGTTGAAGGATATCCAGTATATTAACTGTTCCAGGGAAGTGAGTTGAACTGAGCCCTCTGTACTGCTATGTGGACTAATTAGCTGTTACATTCCTTCGTGCTGTATAAACCTAACCATATATATATATATATGTCCTGGTTTTGTTTTTTAGAGAACCTTACCTAACATACCTGTCTAGAAAAGAACCTCTTAGGGCAGTGGTTCTCAAACTTTCTACTGCCGCAACCCTTTCATACAGTTCCTCATGTTGTGGTGACCCCCCCCAACCATAAAATTATGTTCATTGCTACTTCATAACTGTAATTTTGCTACTGTTATGAATCATAATGTAAATATCTGATATGCAGGATGTATTTTCATTATTATAAATTGAACTTAATTAAAGCATAGTGATTAATCACAAAAACAATATGTAATTCTATATTGTGAAATATTTATTTCTAATGACAAATAAATGAAATTTTGTCTTGAAGCATGTTGTCCCATAGGTAATAATCTTAATATAACAGTAAACTACATTGCTACATTTTCTGACAGTGTGCATAAAAAGCCAACGTCAGAGCTATGGTTGAGATAGCTTCTTTCTCACCAGATCAGCATATCTGCATGTGGTGGACCCACCGGGAGACAGATAGAGGAGCAGCGTCTCGGTTCCTAAGACCATCACAAATGTGTTTTCTGTGGGTCGCGACCCACAGGTTGAGAACCACTGTTTTAGGGTCTCCTTTTGTCCCAACTAAAAGTCACACTTGGCCTGTCCTATTAGTTAATCTGAGTATAAGTTAAACGGTGGAAACAAAGAGATCCCCAAATATAGAAGATCAACATAAGATAGCTTCTGTTCAGGCAACACAGACGCCAATGTCAGGTATCAACTAACTGGAGTCCACAAGCCAAATCTACTTGCTAGCGACTTTACTGAATGAAGTTTTACTGGGACACAGTCCTGCCCATCATTTATGTATTGCCTGTGACTGCTTTTGCACTACAATCAGAGTCAAGTAGTTGTGACAGAGCCCTCATGGCCTTCAAAGCCTAAAAGACAGACTCCCTGGCACGTTACACAAGAATCTGCCTCTCCTGGCTGACAGGTAGGCTCCTGGCTATGCTTCCCAGGATGCCCAGGAGCCTACCTGCTTCCCTCCTGCTGCTCTTCCAGGGAGCATTCTTTGCATGGACAGACCCTGCTGGTCATTAACCTAAACATATTATCCAAAGACTGGCTAATGTCCAGGGTTAATGTCCAAGGACTTCGAAGGCAAGGACATATCACCTCTCCTCAGGTATTACCAGGAGGAGTTAGTCTTGTTTCCATGATTCGCTGCCAAGGAGTTGTTGCCAAGGAAAGCTCTAAAATTCTGTTCTGAAAGCAAGGAACAGGGGATAACTATCAGGGGACCTCCAAGACAAGGTCAAAGCTCTTGGTTGAAAGTGACTTAGCTCTCCCCCACCCCCACCCCCAAAAAAAGTGACTTAGCCCATTGCCAACTGCCGATTCTGCTTGTGGAGATCCCATGTGTTAGAGTAGAATGTTCCATGAGGTGTTCTTGGCTGTAATCTTTACAGATGCAGATCACTGGGCCTTTCTCCCAAGGTGTCACCACATAGATTCAAACTGCTAACCTTCCAGTTAATCGTTGAACAAAAAACCATTTGCACCACCTAGGAACCCGACTAAAAGAACCTTGGGGGAGAAAGATCATGTGGAGTGAGCACACTGCAGCATCTCATGTAATCCAAATGAAAGAAAAGCAATGTAAAGGTAAGTGCTTCAATCACCCTTTTCCCTGCCTCTGGTGAGGAGAATTCTCGCTGGCTGGGTCTGAGACTGAGTAACGGGTGCAGAGAGAACGGGTGCAGAGCAGCTGCAGCCTGAGCTGTGGGAACAGAGAATTCTGCAGAGATTGAGAGAAATGGAGTTTGGTGCAGCTACAGGCTGAGGGACATTAAGTGTATCAGAGATAATAGCTAAAAGGTGGAAACAGTTTACATGTCTATCAAAAGATAAATAAAATATGGCATACACACATAACAGAATATTTCTCAGCCATAATGAGAAATGAAGTACTTAAACATTTTTTTTAATATGGTGGCTCATAAATCACATCAAGATAGATATTGCAACTAGAAGGGTTGTGGCCAGTTTTTGTTTTGACTTTTTACTGTGAATTGAGTGATGGTTTACAGAGAAAATCTTGTTTTCCATTCAACAGTTCAAACACATTTTGGTTCATGTCACTGGCTACAGAAATGAAGTTCTGGGACATGTCACAACATGGATGTATTTGAGAAAATTATACTGAGTAACACAGGCCAGCCACCAAAGGACAAATGTATGAATCCCATTTTTATGAAATAGGCACATATGTATAGAGATAAAAGTTTCTTGTTAGTTACCAGAGCGGGAGAGAGTGGAGAAAGGAAAGGTATGGTAGTTACATAACCTGTGTCAATTTGAAGATTCAGAGTGAAGGGGTGGAGTCTAACCTGTCAATCAAGTAAGGAGATATATAGCCTGCTGGAGGCGGGACACATGCTCACTCCCTGGGAGACATCCCTGTGGAGAAAACACATGGAGAGAGGCTGATGGAGCCAGACCTCTGGAGCTGGAGAAGCCATGTGGAGACCCCTGCCAGTGCTGAGATACTTACTATACCACTGGATCCACAAGACTTACCACCCACTGGCCCATGATCTTCCTGCATTCAGCATCATTGCATATGTTTCGTGAGTCTGAAGAGGACTTTACAGGTTGGTATCAGACATATGGGTTAAAATCAGACTTATGGACTTGATGTGGACTGGGCTGGGAAGTTTTCTCAATATTCAATTGCTCTTGTATATAAAGCTCTTTCCTATACACGGGTGTCTATGAATTTGTTTCTCTAGTCTACTCAGACTAACACAAGAGGTCATTGGTTAGAGGCACACAGCTTCTGTTAATGGTGGATTAAAGAAATGTGAAGAAAATGGAAAACAGGAGGGAGGGGGAAAATGAGGAGCTGATGCCAGGGGCTTAGGTAGAGACCAAATGTTTTGAGAATGATGAGGGCAATGAATGCACAAATGTGCTTTACACAATTGATGTACGTATGGGTTGTGATAAGAGTTGTATAAACCCCTAACAAAAAGATTTAAAAAAAAAAGAAAATGGAAAATAGAGGATAACAATAATCCAAGACTTATGGACCAGAAGGACTAAATGGTGCCCAGTTACCACTACCAACTGCTCTGCAAGGGATCACGTTAAAACAGTGGTTCTTAACCTTCCTAATACAGTTCATGTTGTGGTGGACCCCACCTCCACCCCCACCATAAATATAGTTACTAGAGTGGAAAGTCTCCTTTGTCCTGGAGAGGAGGCCTGATGGTGTAGTGGTTACACATTGGACTGAGATCCGCAGTCACAGTTTAAAATCACCGCAGTTCCCTAGGAGAAAGACTGGGCTTTCTACTCTCGTTAGCAGCTGCAATCCCGAAAACCCACAAGAGGTCGCTCTGAATCAACAATGACTCAATGGCACTGCATTTGGCTTGGGGTTTTCCACGAAGCTGCTGTTGGCTTTGAACTGCTGGTCTTGCAGTTTGCAGCCCAACGCATAACCACTACGCCACCAGGAATTCACCTTTTGTTTGTTTTTAACAACAGACAACTTACATTTGTACGTAAAGTTTATCATTCTTTTCCTTCAAAGTTCCAAATGGATTGCCGTACTTAGATTGCAAAAACAGTTCTCCACTGTTCCCCCAGCACATTTTTGTTCCTTTTTTAGATTAAAAAATATCGGATCCATCTGGAATTTATTTTGGCGTTGAAGAGGGAGGGAGGCAGGGAGGGAGGGAGGACGCCCGAGGCTGTCTTTCCAGATGGCCAGCTGCTGTCGCTTGCCATTTTCCCGAACGCCTGTCACGGGTTTGGAGAAGCAAGCAGCCCTTTATCCAATGCAGGCTTCCTGCCTCCATCCCTTGCCTCCGACGGGCTGAGCCCATCTACGGGCCAGACCGTCCCCAAAGCCTCGAGATGTGTGGTCCAGGGCACAGGGCTGCGGGGCTCCCAGGTGGGCCGGCTTTCCCAGCGCCCCCACGGATCAGCCAGAAACCAGGGCGCGGGCAGAAGGACGCCACGCCAACGACTGACCCCCAGGGTGGTGCCCACAACCTCCCTTCTCTCCTCCAGCTCCCCACCCCCGCTCGCCCCGCCGCCACCGTCCAGATCAGTCCGCGTCACGTCAGTCTGCGGGCCGCGGGGGTGGACGGGAGGGGGCTGGGCCTTCCGAGAAGGTAATTTGAATAAAAGGCGTGGTTTCTAGATAGTTGCGCCGAGGCGGGGCGGGACCCTCGGACGCTTCCTCCTTTGGACGACCCCTTGTAGCGGGCGGGTTGGAGGCTGTAACTTGGTTACGCGCCGGGCTGTGATCCGAAAGGCAACCGCCAGCCGCTCTCCGAGGGAGAAAGCCGGGGGTTTCTACTCCCCTCAGCGGTCAAGGTCCCAGTGAGCCCCCGGCGTCGACTGGGTGGCAGTTGGGTTGGGTTCGGCGTCGCGTCACCGGGCAGCCTGCGGTCCCGCAGCGCTTAGCCAACAGCGCCCCCGTGCGGTGGCCCCGGATAAAGTCCGAGCTGGTTTCCGGTCTGCGGCCGCGCGCAGCCGCAATGGCTCCCGTGCTCCCGAAGCGTCGGCGAACCGGAGCCGAGTCTCCGGCGGGCGCCGCTACCAGCGGCGCTCCGCTCCCGGCGCGGTTCCCTGGCGTCGCCATCTACCTGGCCGAGCCGCGGATGGGCCGCAGCCGCCGAGCCTTCCTCACCCGCCTGGCACGCTCCAAAGGCTTCCGCGTCCTCGACGAGTACAGGTGCCCCGAGTGTGAGCCCGCGGCGCGGTGGGTGGCGTGGCGTTGCCGTGCACGCGCACCGGGCACCGGGCACCCGGAGCCCTCCCGGAGCTGGCCTACTGCAAGGCTAAGGGATTCTGTACCGTGCGCTGCAGCTCAACGCGGGGAGAGCGGGGCACCCCGGTGCGTCGTGGGGGGTCGTTGAATTCGCACTCGACTCTTTGAAGCCCGTTCCCTGAGGATCTCCAGATCGGAGGTCTGAAATGCTTTCACGCAGCTGATGGAGGTGGAGGGGGCTGAGGTGTTTGATTCCAAGTCAGCCTTGACATCTCCTGGGCACGGGGCCTTTTTCTGTACTGCAAGGATCTCGTGATCCTCCTCAGTGAAAGGACACACGTACTAACAGGGGTGCCCTTCAGGATCACTTTCCACCTCAAGTGGGAGAACACCCAAAGCTTATAAAAAGCACGTGAGTGTAATGAGCAATTATTAATCAACAGTGCCATTTGCTAACAGCCTTTACATCTTGCGTGAGCCCCGTCTTGCCTATGGTCCAGGCTGACCTCTCAGTCAACTCTGAGCCTCCTCTCGAGGCTGACCGAGCACCACCAATAAGGATGGAACCCAAAGTTGAAGAAATGGTGGTATGAAGGAAATGCTGAAAGCAACAGAACTGGGGTGGGGGTGGGAGGCTCCCATAGGTTTGAAGTTGGGAGGGCTGCTGAACCAGAGCCTGACTCCTCTGTACCATTTCTCAGACTTTGTATTAAACATGTCCAGGGACTTCCCCTGTGTCAGATCACTCAGAGATGATAACAGCTAACAGGACACAGCCCCAGGCACTGCCTAAGCCCTTTTGCTTCGTAACTCATTAAACTTTTACAACAACCGGACAAAGCAGGTCAATTAGTATCTGTGTATTGCAGAAGAGAAAAATTGAAGTAGAGCTATACCTGGTTTTATAGCACGCTTTCTTGCGCTAGGCGGTCATTTGAAGCTGTATATCAATCGGGCATCAAGCACACGTGCTCCTGTTGCGTCTCTGTCACATGTTGGTCATTCTCACACTATTGGCAACCCGAGTATTTCGTAACGCTCTGGCACTTAGTAAAAAAACGACAGTGTCATGTAAACATAACTTTTTTTTTTTGTAAACATAACTTTTATATGCACTGGAAAACCAAAGAAAAAGGGTATAACCTGCTTATTGTGATCATCACCTTTGTAGTGGTCTGAACCTGAATCTGCAGTGTCCCCAAGGTATGCCTGTACAGAAGGGTGAGTGACTTGTCTCAGGTCAGACTGAATGACATCTGTGCAGAGCTGTGTTGAGACGCCAGTAGTTTGGGCTCTCCCAGCACTTAAATGAAGATGTCCTCAAGGAGTTCTTTTACCTGGGGTGATGGGGGAGGGAGACAAGTTCAGTCAGACTGGATCTGTGAGCAAAGCTAGAGCAGGGACCACACTTCTGTAGGTGATGGCGTGGTGGAGGTGTTCGTCTGCCAGAAGGTGCTGGGAAGGCTTGTTTGCAGGATGTGGCAGTGGAAGCGTAAGAAAGGACCAGGTAGGAAGGGCAGCAAAGACTCAAAGGTTCAGAAGGATGCTGGGGCCTGAGAAACGGCTCTGGTCCTTACTTTCCTCCTCCTTCCTCTGGCCCAGCTCCGAGGTGACGCACGTGGTGAAGGAACAGACCGCGGCAGGGGAGGCTGTCTGCTGGCAGGAGCACATGGAGCCGACTGCGCCCTCAGGCTGTGCTGTCTCAGCACTGCTAAATATGAGCTGGTTCACAGAGAGCATGGCAGCTGGGCACCCTGTGCCCGTGGAGTGCCGACACCGCCTGGAGGTGAGCAGGGTACGGGACCAGAGACACAAAGAAAACCCTGGTAGAAGCCACAGCTCTGTTGGACTGGGAGATGTGGCAACAGCACCTCAGTAGCCTTCCAACAAGGATAAGGACCACCAGGAGGCCTTCAGAAGGCTGGTGTGGGGCCCACAGAGGGCTGGGGCTGACTGGCCACTCCTCCCCAAAGGTCAGGTCATCAGGTGCTCATTCTTGCCACTGAGGCAAACTCTTAGGGGTTCTGCTTATTTTTAGCATCTTCAGGCCTTTCTTCCATACCAAGTAGTTGAGACTTGACCCCAAGTGAGATTACCAGCAGTGGGCAGGAAAAGGGTGCTTTGAGGTTCATGGCTTCGGCCCCACCTCAGGTGCATTGCAGCAAGAGGAGAGGTGGTGAGTGTTAGCACTCATTGTCACGACTGCCTCAGACACTGCACCTCCTCCACCTCAAGTCTGGGGTTGTTGCTGCACTCTTTCAGAGTTGGTGTATGCTCTCCTAGAAGCCCAACAGCCCAAGGGTAGCCCCACAGGAGAGGAAGGTTCCCATGTGCTGCCTGATTCCCTTGCCAGCATGTATTTTTGTTATAATCTGCACTCAGGAAACTAAGATGCAAGGGAGTTGTATGACTTGTACACACACACACACACATAGAAGCTGCGTGTTATTTGCATTAAACATATGGTATATCATGCCTTGCATCCAGCTCTGGGTCCTGTTGGATCTGTAATTTATGGTTGCCCATCTCCAGGTGGCCAAGCCCAGGAAGGAGACTCCTAGCCTAGCATGGATGCCACCCTATGCCTGCCAGCGTGCCACACTCCTTACCCACCACAACTCCATGCTCTCGGTGAGCCATGTATTCCTAGCCTCCTTAGATGGGGTTTTTGGCCTGGCCTGGCCCTTGGGATGGGATCTGGGTACAACTGGGACTTGAGGAAGCTTTGTGCACCTTGTGCCTGACCAAGGGTTTCTCCTTACAGGATGCTCTGGAGACACTGGCAGAGGCAGCAGGTTTTGAAGGCAGCGAGGGCCGACTCCTCTCCTTCAGAAGAGCAGCCTCTGTGCTGAAGGCCCTGCCGGGCCCCGTCATAGCCATGAAGCAGTTGCAAGGTCTCCCTCACTTTGGAAAACACGCTTCCAGGGTCATCCAGGTCAGTGTTCACCACACAGAACAGGGCACAGCTGTAAATGTGCCTGGTCTGGATGCAAGTGGATGAGAGTGAGGATCATGGGCCCCTGATGCGAAAGAGGACCATGACTTTGTGTTTGAGAACCCAGCTGTACTGGCGGACCGACATAGGTTCAAATGGAGGTCCCAAGACCCCAGATACAATGCTGGGCTCAGATTTCTTCCTATGGTACATTGGTGGTATGCCTTTCATTGCTCTCATGATCATTATCAGTTCCAAACCGCCCAGAACTGTGGGAGGAAACAGCCAAGTAGAAACATCACTTTAAAAAAAAAAGAATGTGTTGTTACACTGAGCCAACTCGATGGGACTCAGTTATCGATAGGGTTTATTTTCCAAAGAGAAAAAATATTGTTTACAGTAGCAAAATTATATGCCTACCTAGGCTACCGTCAACGCAGCTCAAAGCCACTAGGCTAAGCATGTGAGTGGACATGTAGCGCCCAGCTTACCTGCTGTGTCAAAGAGTGGTGACAAATATAGTTCCTTTTTTTTTTTTTTAATACAGTTACATTTAAAAAGAAAAGAATTATCTCCACATTCCCCAACTTACCTCCACTGGCCTCACCATAACTATCGAAGTCTGCTTCTTCGATAACATAATTTCTTTGTTAAAATAATTTCTCTTGATTTTTTTCCTTCTATAATAGTG